TCAATTACATACTGTTTTTATTTTTATGTGCAAACTGAAATAAACAATGAACAAATGCTACATTTCTAGTTGTCTAATTGAAATACATGTTGTACTATCGAAATGTCCTCGATAAGATACAGGGCAAATAGAAATAGAGGTGAGGCGTGAAAGCCTTATATGGAAGAGCGATACGCAGTTCGAGTTGCATGGTGGGGGAGGGGGGCAGGGGTCAGGTTAGTAAGTGATGTAGAGGTCAGACGTCAGAGGAAGTTACATGCAGCCCACCACAGAGGGTCAACACTCAAGGTCAACAAGCACTACTGCTGAATCAACGTCGTATCTTGTTTCAACTTCTCTCACTAACACTATACATCTTATAGAGAACTTTATTGACACAACAAAAAGTACAGCGACTTTCGTAAGGTCTAAAACTGCATGTAAATATACAGACAGATACATGGGTACAACGGAATTAACCTACGTACAAAACAATAGATGAGTCAACTAATACTGCTTGTTCTAAGGTCTAGACATTCTTTGATATATTTACCTATTTGTACACAGTAAGGGTTATTACCTTCTAGGATGAAATTAAATTTATCTATAGCATGAAATGTAACAAATTCTGTTGAGCAAGCGGAGAGAAGGTTGAACAGCTTTGTGCGTTTATCGTTATATAGTGTACAATTCAAAATAAAATGTTGTTCGTCTTCAATATCTTTCGTGCTATATGCATTATCTTTTGTTTATCAAGACCGAACGTGCCGTCTTGGTTTATGGTTATGGTTTATTTGGGATGGTTTATTATTATTATTATGACGTAAATCGCATATATCACAACAGTCGCAGCCCGAAGGCTGAATTGATGAAGTGAGATTACAGAAATTGACTGCAACACATGATTAAAAACAACTCTACACAAGCAAAAAGCAAAGAATTTTACGGTCAACGTTATCATTCATATATACAAGACTATTCTGTTGTAAAATTTAAAATCGGATAGAAATACGGGTTATAGGGCAATTTGTGACATTGAACAATTACATGTTTAGTAGACAGACCATGTGTGGTATAGCACTCGTTCTACAACGTTCGGTTCAACACTTCAGAATGTATAAACTTTTAAGGTAGAACAAAGAAAGATGTATTCAGTCATCTCATGTCCACCAGTAATGACCACACAATAGAAAAACTTTGTGAATTTATCTCCAATTGCTTTACAAAGAGAGAAGAAATCCTTAAGGCCTAGATTAGTTTATTCTCTAGTAGTTGTTAAGACTTTTACGATGTACATGTAACATCACACTCTGATGTATGCATTTCGCCCCATGGGCATGAACGTGCAATTAAAGATTCATTCAATGTCCAGATTGCTGGAAGAACGAATCTATCGGCAAGTTATGTAGCTTATTGTTTTCCATGTACTTTTTTTGTCTATTTGTATATTTATTTCTTTTTCTTGAATAAAATTATTGAAAAAAAACACTCCCGGTGCAATTTGCTTCAGTGCAGTTTTTAGGGCTAGGAATCCAGATTTTTCATAGTCAATATTCTAGTCTTCTATCTACATAGTACTAAGTTAAAACAACACTGTCCAAATCAATGTATATCGACATCCATGGAGCAAAAATGCCCAAAATTCTGACGAAAGCGGTTACTGAAAGGACCTGGATTGATTTGTAGGGTACCACCCAGAAAATAAAGGACTAATATTGGGGATTTTTTCTGCTCTTTTAAAAGCCTAAAGTATGAAATACCGATTCAAATGTGCTAATGTGGGATAGTATGTGTCGATACCATACAGATTGTCTTATTCAGAATATTTCCAGTTTTGCGACCCTGAAATTGCATTGAATGCCTTTAACCCTAAAAGATCCCTGACAACTAGAGAAAAAATTGCCTGCATTGAAGAATATGTTGTAAGTATTACAGTTAACATTATATGTAATTTTCAGACCACAATTTCCAATCGAAAGAGAACTGTTGGGTGATTTGAAATCCGTCTATCCTTAAAGTGCACCAAGAAATTACTTAAAGAGAAGAAACAAAAAATCTATATCTACGTAATTCTTTTAATCTTTCCATATTTATCTTTCTCCGTAAAAGCCTAGATCTATCAATCTATATCTAAACTATCTTTTTATATCCGTATATAGAGTAATAAAAAGCCGATTACAAAAAAATGCCGCCTGTCTTCTTTTGCTGCTTTGACAGGTTCAATCTGTCATGATTTGCCGGTGCATTACTGATCCATCACTGATGTAACAGGTTATATGGTGCAACAGTGACTGACACATAATGATTGGCGTGTGACCTGGATAGACCGTGTTTGAAGTGGGCTACGTGCCGTGCCTATGCTATGGCATCATTTTCGTGTCAAAATCGTTTTTAAAAAGTACCTTAAATTGACGTAAATACGTCTATGATGCTGCATTCAAAAGAGACGTTTTCAATACACGACAGGGCTTTACGACAATTTAAGGCACCTTTTTTTAAACGATTTTTTGACGCGAAAATGATGCCATACTGTGCCGACTGGTTCGTTCCGGGCTCTCTTTTCACCTACATGAAAATGTAGGTATTGTTACCTCCATGAAAAATGGAGGTATTGTTTTTGGCGTGTGTCTGTGTGTGTGTGTGTGTGTGTGTGTGTGTGTGTGTGTGTGTGTGTGTGTGTGTGTGTGTGTGTGTGTGTGTGTGTGTGTGTGTGTGTGTGTGTGTGTGTGTGTCTGTGTGTGTCTGTGTGTGTGTCTGTGTGTCTGTGTGTTTCCGCATGTAATTGTCGTCAGCATAACTTAAGAAGGCTTTTATGGATTGTGATGATATTTGGTATATAGGTAGGTCTTAGGAAAACAAAGGTCAAGCTTAAGGTTAAATTTGGGCCTCCTGGTGGCTGGCCATGGTACTGCAGCAGAACTTCCGGTTTTTGTATCTTTTGCCCTGGACATGCTATGGCCTTGATTTTTTTGGTTTGGTGTCTGGTACCTTTGCATGTCAGGAACAAGTGGTGTGAGTTTGGTCCCCCTAGCAGCTTAATATTTTTATGAAGTTATAAGATCTCAGATCTTGTTTTTTTGTTGGGGGGAAGGGCTGTCTGTATCGCTGTTAGCAAATCTTCAAGTAGTGTCAAGGCTACGGATTCAGCACACAGGAACTTCAAAGACAAAGACAGGGAGAATCACACATGGCAAGCCAGATATTGTCAATCAGAAGATAAAAAGTTTTCTCCCAAAAGTATTTTTCTGTGGTGTATCATTTCAAACATTCGAAAGAGGACATCGGTATTCTTTTCAGCAGCTGAGTAAGTACTAGGGGTGACTTCGCGTCTAAGATAAAGCCATGATAGCAAGGTGTTTGAAGCACACCAAATAAAGAACAGATATCAACAGAAATATGTTTATGAAATGGAAAAGTCCCCTGCCATTTTTCTGGAATGGAAGATCTCACTTGCCCAGCTCCCTTATCAAATAGTAGTGGTTTGCCGTTTAAATATAGCCCCAGTCGAGCTCACGCGATGGCTCAGTGATTCTTTGTTTACTCTACAAGGGTGTATGTAGGAAAAATCGAATTACGACTCGAATCACGTCGTCTCTTCAACTGCCTACATGTATCAAACGTGACTCACGTCTACGTGAGACAATCAACGCCAGTCGTTGACCTTGCAATCATGAGCATTAGGCCACAGGAAGTAATTTTTATGGATGACATCAGCGCGCGCATTAATAATTTTCGTCTGATTTTGGAGAAAAAAAAACAAGAAATTTTGTTGCCTTCTGACAGTGGTCAATATGCCCAAAATGGGCAAAGATGTCTGTTGCCATGCCGGAAGGTGGATGGCAGATAACTACAAAAAAAGATAGGAGGCGAGAAAAAGGCCTGATTTAATGTTTTGTTTCTTACTTTGGTGCAGTGATATGTGATGCTGGCTGTGTATATGTGATGTTCCCACTGAATCAAAACCATTTGTACAATGATTGAGTCAAAATCTAGGAACCTCAAGTTATTGTTCTTTTCGGTCCGTCTTGTTTTTTTTCGCCTGCTCGCATTAGATTTGGAGTCTGCGGAGGATGTCATCCATAAAGTTTACTTGCTGTGGCCCAATTTGAAATTTCTCGGGAACGGTACTCTCCAAGCAGAGGTTGATGGGGAAGATCGTTACCTTATGGTCCTCTTTTTGTCGCTACCCCCATCTTGGGTGGCGTATGGACCTCTTTGGCCAATGGATACTGCCTGGCCGATTTGATGCTGTCTTTTTGCCACCCTATGATCTGCTTGGAGATTACGGGAACGGCACTGTATTTTACATGCAAGACTGCGTGCTGAAGGCTTGCTTAAAGAATTTCGCTTCAATAAAAAAACGTTTCTAGTGTTATCATTATTAAGAAATGTCCATTTCTATAGCACAAACAAATTTGAAAATAGACTGATACGCTACATGATGAGAAAATGGGAGAATGGACGATTTTCTCACATAAGATTGCATGACTCATTTGTAGGGACGATGCAGTAACCAACTGTTGGCGGTGTAAAAACTGGCTTATTCAACCTTAATGGAGTTTTTTACTCTCCCCTACCAGACATATTATACCAAAAGGTCGTTTAATATAGCGAGGAGCCTGCGTTAGTTAAGGGAGATAATGCCTGGGATTACATAACATACTTATCGTTGGGCTTCTTTGGGGGAGTTCGGAAAACACTATACAATATTTGCATCACTGACATCCAGCCTGGTATAGCTCTAACCAGATCCCGAACTCGCTTCCTTGTCAACTCGTAAACTGTAGAAAATGTTAGGATGGAGTACTAAAGGTAAACAAGACTGGACCATAATGTTCAACAAGGGTTTTGGGTGGTTGGAAGCCGTGCCCCCTCTAGATGACGTCATACTGACGTCACGATGTATGCAGCGAGTAACGCAGACGATCTGCAATGTTGATTCTTATTTTACCACTTCTTCTTCAGTCTTCTTCTGTTCAAATGTTTGCTACCGCCCCCCTCCCCCCATCTCCAACACTTACCACTTACAGGCTTGTCCTGGAGAAACATGAGGCATGATGTGTCAGCAACTTTCGTTTCTTCCCAAACAACTCCTTAAAGCGACAACTGCTCTGCTTCTTCCTTCAGGAGGTGTGTCCAGGCCAGTTTTCAAACCAGCGTTGCCTCGATGATTCAAGAGCGGTAGATTGAAAGACGACGCACGGATGCCTCTCTCTGTGTCTCACGGATGCCTCGCTCACGGTGCCAGTCGGTCAGAAGGAACTGGTCTAATTGTGTAACTAGCAGGGATTAGGAGGCGGTCACGAGCGAGACCGGGCCAGGAAAACAAACATGCTCGGCATGGAACCTATGTCGCACCCGGCCGGCCAGCGGGATGCCAGCGCGCTACGGGGACGGGCTATATTTAACCCGAGAAGCGGGCGCTTTGGGAGCGCCACGTGGACGCTATGTTTGGGGATGGTCTGGATCACGTGGTCGCGGTTACGTCATCAGTTGTTTGACGTCATGTTCAAAGGTCTTGACACCGCGAGTCAACACGAATTGGTGATGACGTCATTCCGCGAGGTTCTGTATTTGCTAGATGACCGGTGCCGTAATCCTTGCTGGTTATTTTTGGAGGGGAGTGTACATAAGGATCAACACTGTTAGTATAGGAACAAGTACGGTAAAACCGGGCAGTTTTTGACAGAACTTGAATCCGCTCAAGTACTAGCCTGTACCAGGCTTTGGGAGGTGGCTGGAAAGAGAAGAGATCGGCCAAATAAAGGGATTTGGGGAGTTGGTCTGCTGAAGAGTACTTTTTTTTCGGATACGGTCAGATACTTCCGACAAACAAGATTGGGATTTTAATTTTTACGCCCATGGAAGGGATGCATGTTGCAATTTTATAGCAGGAGGGATTTAGACTCCTGTTACCATATATATGAATGTGTTTGAGTAAGAATTAACAGAGCATATGCGAAGGTAAACATTATGCATTTGCTTTGCAAATATTACCTATCTATTTTTTCTACAGCAAATATTGCCTGGGGGTACTGAAAATGTTCAAAGAAAGCTCGCTTGATGGTCTAGATATGACGTGAGTTACGGTGAGTACAGGAAGAAAAACCTTCTATCGTCACGTCCTGTTTACGTCAGCGTAATTACGCAGAGACTCCCTGGGCTTATCATCGTCTACAAAGCCCGTCAACTAACGCTGCACGTAATACCTGAGGGCCTCATCTCTCTTCTCACGTTATTGGCCTCGTGTCGACGTTTGTAGGGAGTTTTAATTTAGAAGCCGGCAGTGGGTGATTTAGAACGAGTCGGGTGTAAAGCCTCGGGGAGGCGTGCTGCTAAACCCGCCAGTTTTATCTTGATCAGAGGCAGTCATTACTTTAATTTGTGGAACAAAGTTAGCGGTGAGTACAAGGCAGTCTGGCATCACGTAACACGTACAGAGAGACGTCAGTTGAATACAGACGAATCAATGATTCATCTAGTTCCTTTCGCCCCGAAATCTGACCAGGGCGTTGTATTGAGGCTGACCTTGCCATTGTCATTATGTTTACCGACGAAAACATTGTTTTTGCTCTGTTTCCTCCTCTTCTTCTCCAAACCAAAAAGGTCAATGACCTGAGCCAGGCGTCTCTCACCATGGTAACTAGTGTTGGGGTACATCATGTTGCAATTCAGTCATAGCAGGAGGGATTTAGACTCCTGTCTGAACATATACATGTATATGAATGTATTTGAGTAAGAATAAACAGAGCAGACGATATGTGAAGGTTTTTTTTTCTTCGTCTTGATATTGATTCAACAAACACTTGACTCTTCTTAGAGATGTCTTACAGGTTAGCAAAAAGTACGGTACAAATGCAGTCACTTTAATTTGCTAAAAGAATTGCAAGCTATATCAATGGCTAATATAGCTCTTTCTTTTGAGCGCTATTAGTTCTTTGATATACATGATTCCTCATTTAAACAACTTCGCCCATAAAGATGCGTTACGTGAGATCTTGCCCGAAGCGTTCAGACGTGCATTTTTAATAGAAACCGGAGCAGGGCTGTCATGCCATTGGCTTCCGCTTGATGTCGCTTATACGTAGAGACGTGCGAGAAGCCACCTCTACATAGTGCAATAGTGTCAAATGTGATATCAAGATTCACAGATTATAACCACATACAGTTTAATACGAAGTAACACAGTCGGACTAACTTTATAGGTACTAACTTTGTAGTATGATTACCAACTTGGATATTTTATTTTTCTATGTCAGCTCTCACTCAGCATTAGCAGCCGGACTGCCTAGACAGAACGCTGTCGGGGTTTTGCGCTGAGGAAAGAATTAACTTCATATTAAAATCTATGTATGTCCCTGATGTTTTGCCAAAAGCATGTTTTAATGAAACTTTATTTGCAAAATCATGCCCGAAGGCTAATTGCTTTTACAATCAAGTATACTATATAGCTACTCATTGCCATACAGTAATAGAAGACAGGCAACAACTGTCTGGAAAAACTTCTACTTCTACTACTACGCTATCTATTATGGGGGTTCGACTTTTTCTTTGAAGGCAGTGGATAATGAATAGTCCCACATTCTGAATAATTAGTGGGTTTTGTGATCGTAGAAACGTAGTCTGTTGGTGATCTTCTAAATGACGAAAGGATGGAGAAAGTGTTGTAACTGTCTGAAATAATTTGTTTGTCTTTTTCATCTTGAGGACACTAGCTAACAAAATGTGTTTCATTTTCCACTACATTCATTGGGCAATATTTACATAATCTCTGATAATTGCGTACTGCACTCACTCGCCCTAAACAAACTGTGGCCCGCAATGGTTTGGTTACCTATTGTATCTCTTTATGGCGATGGTTAATCTATTATATAACCCCGCATGGCAAACATCACTCGTATGGTCTTTGTAACAAGTCGACTGACCACTTTACGATCACTCACCCTGCTGACAAAACGCCCGGGATCAGCATCTGTTTGCACCATGCTTCCTAAGAAAGCCTTCAAGACAGGTAGAGAAGTATTTTCTTTAGGGGAGAAGAAGAGCAGGGGTTTTTGTACTGTGAATACTACAATGTTGCGTACAAGAACAAGGGAGGAGGGGCGTGTTCAGGTAGCTCTACCAGGCATCGGGAGTCGGCTGGAAAGAGTAGAAATCGGTCAAATAGAGAGATAACATGCCGAGGGAGTTGGACTGCTATAGAGAACATTTTGCCGACCGGGAGCGGCAAAATGTTCTCTCCAGCAGACCAACTCTATTTGACCGATTTCTACTCTTTCCAACCGTCTCCCGAAGCATGGTATAGACTAGTGTTCAGGAACAGTTAACGTTGTTTTGAAATTTGTTGGACGGTTACACATTGAGACCACCGGAACCGATATTTTCATTGCAGCTTGAAATTGAATGCATTGTCGGAACGCTTCTGTCTGAACGGAGTATTGTATAATTATCCATTCGTCAAATTTGAAATGTTGTCCCTCACAGACCTTGGTCAACTTGTTCATGAAAAAAGACCTTTGGTACCTAAACCACGTGCACCAATGACCTAATTTCCCCCAAAGCTTCAGGCTACGAATACAGGATAGATCTTAGACAAATACGTTTAGATAGAACCTTTTTAATTATGTATGAAAGGTTCTTTAGTTTCACAGTTCATAAAGAACATATCATTTTGTTCTATTTGAGGTTTATGTGCAAAAGGCAAACAAATAATTTTCGAACATGATACGCGTACTGTACCTGATGTGATGTACCTAGCATCTCCCCTTTCTTCCTGTGGAAGATTAGCCTCGTGTGCAGGCCTCCGGGCGGGTGGGAGTTTTGATACTCATGCGTTTTGCAGAATTTTAACGCGTTCTTTTGCTGGCCATCCTACAACTAGCCGCCCAGAGAAGCGCAATATCAAAACTCCCACCCGCCCGGAGGCCTGCACAGGAGGCTATGGAAGATCAGGTTTTTGGTCAGCTACACTGGATCCAGGTAGATTTTTTTTAACGGTGTCGCTCAATGCAAGGCCAATTATTTTTGGCCACTTCTAGGCATAGAGCTAGAGGTACTAAAGTGAGTATATTGTAGTTATGTCAGGAGATGGCGGTGGACCTGTGTTTTGAAGGATTGTAGTCGGACGGAAAGCAACTGTTTGGAAGAGAGTTCCATAATTTTGCAGTCCGGGGAAAGAAGCTGTTGTTGTAAAATGACTTGGAGACAGGTATGTTAACGGTGTATTGATGAGAACTGGAAGAGAACCTAGTGGCACGCTGAAAGGTTCTGAGCGGCGGAACAAGAAGTGCAAGTTCTCCTGAACATATTTTGTAACTTCATACACAGGTTCCACTGCCCCTGACCCCCCGGCTCCGGGTGTGCTCCGCCTCATCAGTAGCCGGTTCTGTCCGTACGCCCACCGGACCAGACTGGTTTTAGCTGCCAAAGGGATTGAGTAAGTCTGTTTGTCAGTGGGTTATCCATCTTTCTACATCCCTAAGTGTTTCTGTGTAACTAAGTAATATGTCATCCAAAATTACCGTGGCCGACAGGTACAAAATGACAGAGAACTATAGCTCCTCCATCCATGGTCTCATTAACTATTATAGCTTTCCTCATTTGTATAATTTATGTGACATGTGGCCTGAGTGACTGGTCATTCGGACCTGATGAAGGATGAGGTAGATGTAGGACAGTATATGGGATACTTAATTGATAGTTTAGTAATCTGCAATACGCTATATACTTATCAATTACCAATAAACATTATAGTTACGAGACCGTCAACGTCTGCTTGTACAAAAAGCCCGAGTGGTTCTTCAGCATCAACCCCCTGGCCAAGGTGCCCACCCTGCAGCATGACGGCAAAGTCGTGTACGAGTCCCTGGTGTGTAACGAGTACCTGGACCGGGTCTTCCCGGGCAGGAAGCTGCTACCGGAGGAACCTCTGGAGAAGGCGCGGATCGGGATGCTGCAGGCCGTCTGGGACGCCAAGGTCAGTACGATGCTCGAATGGGTACAGAACTAGGGTATTTGTAGTCACGTGACGATGACGTAATTTATCATCCGCCATGTTGGTTGCTTACAAATTTGTGCAATGTCATCATGTGAGAGCTATGTTCTTCGATTCCCATGTGCCTCTGCACCATATCATAGTCTTTATTTGCAAAATCATGCCAGAAGGCTGATTGCTTCTACAGAGTCAAAGATACTATTTGGTACAATACGGTAATAGGGAACAGAGTATTTGCAGTCACGTGATGATGACGTAATTTATCATCCGCCATGTCGGTGGGTGAAAGACGTCATTGCGTGAATATAGAGGCATTTACATATTATGATTGTGTTTTTCTTGTTTGCAAGCCAAAACAAATATCGAATGCTGAATATCTGTTATTATTTGAATGTAACATACATGTACAAGTTCATTCGGTCTTCATGACTGTTTTCTTTAATTCTATCAACGCAGTGTCAGCCCAATCTTATGAAAGTCTCCATGTCGGAAGGAGAGGAACGACAGAAGGTTTTCGACGCCTTAAAGGAAGGATTGTCCTTCTTGGAGAAGCACCTGGCCACACAGAGCGGGAAGTCTTTCTTCGGTGGTGACCAGCCCGGTATCCTTGACTACAGCATCTGGCCGTGGTTCGAACTGATCGACCTGCTCCTGACTGATGATGACGTCAAGTTGCAAGAAGTCGAGTTCCCAGAACTCCTTGCGTGGCGAGCCGCCATGTTTGATCGTCCGGAGGTGCAGACCTGTGCATTCGATATGTCTGTTTTTGCCAAATACGTCGCAACCATGCGCGCTGGTAATCCTGATCCAGACATTGGCCTAGAAGACAGTAACTAAATTCTACATTCTACATTCCATTCAGATAAAAAGTGGATTTCTATATGTATCTGCTTTCAAATTAAGAGAATATAAAAATTTCAATATTGGAAGCAGTTGGCATATTATGATGTCAACATGTTCATTAGTCATCTATCGCTAATGGAAGCTTAAATTTTGAGGTATTTTAAGCAAAAGATGCATGCCTAATTTTGATCTACCAATCGTCAACTAGTCAGTGTGTCATCAGTGATTTTATCGGAATGTTACTGTACCGGTACTGGGCTCCATCAAAAGTTACGAAGGCCCGTAACGACACTGCGCTACACCTCTTCCACAGTCCTGCCACACAGCGCTGCCAGGGGCTATACCTGCCATACACCCCGGTGTGGACGGGCTGTGGAAGAGGTGTAGCGCACTGTCGTTGTGGTCCTTCGTAAAAAGTGAACGGTTGTCCATTGTACGTCGTTATTGGCACTGACACATGTCTCGCTGAGGAACATGTAAACCAGATTAAAAGCGAGACGATAACGTCATTAGGCAAATAGGCGATATGGACACAGAATTTACGGGGCCTGAACAAAGCTTTGAACGGCTGAATGAATAGTGGTAAAAAGACGTATAATGTGATATCATCATGTTGGACGACAGCCAAGATCACAATGTCTCCAAGTCTTCAATCATTTTAACGAACACATATACTGTTTCAAGAACTGTACATTTCTTTTCTTTTCTAAATGACTGTAGAGCTTATACAGATGATTCACCTGTAGTTTAGATGTCCCCAAAAAGAAGTAGATAGCTTTTCTCCATACTAGTATATATCTAGCCTCTACCAGGCACCGCGGATCGCTGGAAAAATAGTACAAATTGCGGCTCCGTGGGTCGCAAATTGGATCTTCTATGGCCCGGGATCTTCTCTGGTATACTATCCCTTTATTTCGGCCAATTTCTACTATTTTTCCAGAGATCCACGGTGCCTGGTAGAGGCTAGTATATATCGACGTTGTCGTCTTGATATGTTCTGTTTACAGAAAGGATGTTATGATAATGCTTGCTATTTTTGCTGATATGGTCCCCTCTAATTCACCATGGGTATGGTCTAATTTGATAAACTTGATCCATTGGATCTCCCAGGAGTCACAGGCTCTTATATCCGCCAATTACTGATGTTTAACTACGTCATGGGTTGTTCCACTATAGCAGCAGGGGTGGCCTAATGCTGGAAGGCTGGAAGTGTATATGAGGGAATGTATATGAGGGAATAATTCTGTGATATTTGAATGTAATATTGGAAGCTGTGAGTGTTATTAACTGTTACCATAAAGGGACGAATTAATTATAATAAGCAAGTGCGATCACCCCTACGTGGAGTTGTGAAATGGACTCGTCCTGAAAGATATTGCAAGCATATGCAGTCGTTATTGGGCGTGTCCACGAGCACTTAAAGACGTTGATGACAAAGATCTGGACTTCTGCCAAAGGAGAAGGATTTCTGTCAATTATCTTCGAAAGGTGAGTTTTTATGACGTCATTCACTTCGTCTTTACTCGAGCTCCAATAATAATGTAGTTATAGTAGTTATGAAATTTGGCATAATATTATCTGTCTCTCAGAGATGTTATATTCATTATAACGTATTAGAACAATGATAACCTTGAACGCCGGGTTGTCCATTGGTGATTTAGCAAATTGGAAAGTATGTAATCCTCAAGCCTTGATAACTAAGACCATAAGCGTGATAATGTCACATATAATTATACCATAAGGATGGTGACATACAATGACTCCATGGCCATACGCAAATTGTCTTTCCTCTGAATTCTATTCCGAAATTGATTGCTAGCTATCTAAGAGAAATAGATGTATAAAGATAGAACTATGTTTATTCACCAAAAAACTGACACATTTGATGCCAGACGCAGAAAATTATGCTACTCCTTTATTGAATAGGCTAAATAACACCAACAACAGCATAATACAATGTCTTCTGAGGTCAGATTTTCAGTACAGAAATTCTTTTTAAAAATGTATATAAGATGTTGTATGTATAGTTTGTGTTTCTATGTTTTACCGTTGTTTTCTATGGGTAAAATACCTAAAATAAAGACATTCATTCAGAACTACTAGTCCATACAACTTGAGCAAATTCGTAGCCTTATCCTTTGGCGGTATAACTTTATACATCTCTGTTCTAGTTACTGTGACAGCTGTTATCATCAAACGGTACATTGTGTAACTCCATATCCGATGTTGATCTGAGTGTGTTCACTCAGGTCATGTATATATAAGTGTGACAAGTGACGCTAGCACGAGGATATGCTGGGATCACTTGTGCCACTCGGATAAGACTTTACCACTGTCTCTTATGTATAAAATGGCTTTTACACAATGCTTACAGTCACGTCCAGGGGTGCCAGAGTATACAGTGCAATTTTACGGAATACAGTGCAATTTTACTAGTATACAGTGCAATTTTACGGAATACAGTGCAATTTTACGGAATACAGTGCAATTTTACTAGTATACAGTGCACTTTTACGGAATACAGTGCAATCGTATTAGTATACAGTGCAATTTTACTAGTATACAGTGCAATTTTACGGAATGCAGTGCAATCGTATTAGTATACAGTTGCACTATTTAATACGATTGTACTGTATTCCGTAAAATTGCACTGTATTCCGTAAAATTGCACTGCATACTAGTAAAATTGCACTGTATTCCGTAAAATTGCACCGTATACTCTGGCACCCCTGACGTCTGTATGATATGTCTAAAACAGTTTGTTACACCAAATCTACACCCACATGACATCGAGATACCGATATATTGCGCGCATAATTGGACCAAAACCAAGAAATAGGATTGGTTTGTCTCGTTGCCAAAACACCCAGAGTCTGGAAGACAAATTGAGCCATTGTTTACTTGATTTAGTGGCAAGGACGAGTTGTGAATAATTCTTGCATGGATGACCCAAGCAGGTGAGGTTATGAATATGTTATTATTGTGATCTATGATCATTCCTCTTAAATAGATCTATCATTGTCTTTGCGTGCGTGATACTGAGGTTAGTGACCACGCCTCCTGGACCTAAAGGTTGCGAGTTCGAATCCATGCACTTCTCGCTCCCCAGACATGCACACTACTGGAAAGGCCTGTTGGAGATCCACTGTTCATTGTCCTTGTCGAAAAGAGCTAGGGGAATTCTTGTATATACGTACTGTACATATTATTAAGTGTATGTCATATGCCATTACATCGGGAATATTAGATTTTAAGTAGCTCAACTGCAAAGTACGAAAACCAATATTTAAGCAAACTTTACGCAATATGTAAAGAATTATTAAAGGTGGGAAAATATTTCAGTAGACGTTAAGACTTCGTAAAGGCCACTGAAAGGCGAATTCCGCCTTTCCGTTATCTTTCAGTGCGCTTAAATACGACGTAAATATAATTCATACCTTTACGCTTCCATTACAAATCCGTAAATATGTTTCGTTTTCCCTTTTATAACTATCTCTGAATAAATGTATTCCAATCCATAGAAATTATGTGATGCAATGCAATCATGAAACTACATGTTAATAGATACTAGTTGCAAATTCTTGAAATAGAACTCGTTCTCCCTCCTTCGTACACCCCCTCAAGTTGCGATAATGGAATGGTCTAGTCTTGAGAAGCGCGAGCTTTCGGTGGAATTTTATCTCTAAGTGTTCCTAATGTCGTCCGAGCACTCTTGGGGTTATGAGTGACGTAACGGCGCATTGCATCGCGACAACGTCACCTCCTATTTCCGGACACGACCAATACAAATCACATAATGAGATTCAGGACTATTCAGTTGAATACGTGTTTTACAGAAGCCCCTTTCACATGCGAGTTATGGTGTGTTTTACGACATCAAGTTGAGCACGTTCTTTATACTGTCGTGTGTGTGTCGTACAAAATGTCAGCTGTCTTGTGGCGAAAAGATTTGTCGTATATCCTTGTCAACTGTCAAAGTATTGCAGATAATCATATACGATTCGTACAGCGTGTATGGTTGAGGAAAAAGTATGGCTCCATCCCCACCAGGTACAAATTGGCCAGATCGAGCCGGATTGATCCGGCTCAATCCAGCTCCTAGCAGTATCGAAGCCGGATCAAAGCGAATCAATCCGGCTCGATCCGGACACTTTTATCCTAGTGGGAATGGGGCATAAGTGATTGGCCGAAGTGGAGATGTCTTAAAGGCATCCAGTGCAGTTTTTAGGACTTGGAAACCAGATTTTTCAAAGTCAGTATTCTAGTCACTTATCTACATACTAAGTTGAAAGAACACTGTCCCAATATATATCGACATTCATGGAGTAAAAATGCCCAAAATTCCGACGAAAAGCGGTTACTGGAAGGACCTGGGTTGATTTTTAGGGTACCACCCAAAAAATAAAGGACTCATCTTGGGGCTTGTTTCTGCAGTTTTAAAAACCCAAAGGTTGAAATACTAATTAAAATGTTCTAATGTGAAGCAGTTTGTGTCAATACATGTATCATAAAGATTACCTTATTCAGAATATTTCCAGTTTTGCTTCTCTGAAATCGCATTGGATGCCTTTAATTGAACGGAAATTTACGGCACAGTTGTAACGTTTCAAATGGTTCCGTCTAGACAATCAGATTGAAACGAACCGTGGTATTGATTTGGATTGACCCAGGGTCTGCGTTATGTCAAAGCAGGCACGTGATTTATCACACTGCATGACACATAATTATGTTCCCGTCCATTATACCCCAATCTTCCTAATGGTTGGAGATCTTGTTTAGGATCGTCCTTATCCGGTCATGAATTTTTGATGATCACAACATGGCATCGCCTCTGTATTTCGTGCTATCAAACTTGACGGACGCTCCCTGCATATTCGGGGAAGGGTCATGTGAAGCTTAATTTCTTTAGCTGCTACATGACTGTATAAATAGCATTAATAATAGTACTAAATATTAGAGGCGACTAAAAATCACTAAAGTATGGGAAATATTTAGTTATCGATAGGTGTTACGTGCATGTGTACACGTGTACACGCTTCTAGGTGTCATCAAGCCATTTTGTGAAGTGTAAAAAAAATTTAATTTTTAATTGTATTTTAATATCTAAATATTATTTTAATATTATTTTCATATCATTTTCAATTTTATTTTAATTTTTAATTTTATTTTAATATTTTAATCATTAAAATATTATTTCAATCATTATTAAAACATATTAGATTATTAAATATTATTTTAATTTTTGCTTTTTAATTTTATTTTAATATCTTAGATATTTAGATATTAATATTATCTTAATATTTCAATTTAATTTTAATTCTAAATTGTTAAAACAAATTGCAGTGCACGCTGGTCGACGTCACATAACATATACCACAGATACCTGTCATGGCATAGAAAAATCTGTTGCAGATTTCCGTTGTGCTTTGTTTGCCGTGGACATGCATGTACGCTTCATTGAGCGAATAACCACGCATCCCCGTCAGTTGACAGGAAGTTAGGGTTAATCCAGAGCGATGTACGTCACAGCCATAAATCGTGCATTACTGCCGTGTACTTGGCTCGCGTACAAACATGCGGGGTGTGCACCAGGCAACGCGTGTGTCAGACCGCATAGGCTAGGGTTGTCAATAGTGTTCTAATTTTACATTTAGACAAGATATGCAAGAAAATGTCAAAGCAGGACATGTTTAAACATTTGATGTCATGCAAGAACGAATTTACAGTAGACATATATCGTTTACCTGGATGTCTAACCTTCATCAACGTATATACTATGTAATTATCTTTCCAAATGTTTCAAAAAGAGAGAAGAAAGGGCAACTAACAGTAGATGATAGGTAGTATATAGTATTGTTATAATGTATAACTTCCTAGCAATTAGCATTAGATTATAGCGTCCCAGTATGCAATACTCATGTTTTGCATACTGCATGTCCTCTTGTGCATTTAGCCCATCTGGGCAAGAACATGCAATAAAGATTCATATCATATCAATATTAGCTGTCACTTATTGACCTCTAGAATTTTGTCAGTTGCCGTTTCATACAAATGGCGTCAGAAGAAAGTACTATAGACTAGACTGTACTAGCCTATCATTTGGGCAGATGCTGAAAGTACATTTCAGAAATGTGTGGAACGTTATAGTTTGCAGCTATACACATGTACACACCCTCCCAACACACACATGTATAGCCTTTAATAGCCAGTGCCCCCGTAGTTTATCCCAACAGGTGCGTTACGTTTGGGGTCAGTAGCCAGCTGCCTTCCACATCCATTATCACTGCTGGCTGAGGTCCAGTGCTGTGTCCCATAGCGTGACAGCGAAAGACTCCAACAATGCCCGCCTCACCGGCGGCGCTGTCGCCAGGGGCAACCGATGACGCCTTTTCCTGTCGCCATAGCAACGGGTGGGACCGACCACTGCAAAGTTCAAGTGCCAGAATAACGCCTGTACATGCAGCGACTATCTCATTTAAAACATGTGACCCCATTCTTCGTGTAATTTAGATAAGAAAACACATACTTCTAACCTTAAGAGTCTTAAGGCTTTGTAAAGTAACATTTAAAGGGACTTAAAAACACTCACTAGTGTCCTCACAAATAGTTAAGTCAGGATCGATCAAGCGGTAAACATTCCGGCCATTTTGCGGGGGTGCCTGTACCAATGAGAGGAAGGCTTTGTTGTCCAAGTTGATATTACCGGGCAGGGGTATATCGATAAGGCAGGCGGTTGGCTGAACCCGAAAAGGGCGTAGGCGGCTACTTGGGAAATAATTTACGGGGTTTATGCAAACAGGCAGCCCGCTGCGTCGCTTGCCATTTTTTCACGATAGAAGGTTGGAGGTTGTCTCGTTTATCTTCGACTCACAGGCTCGAATTGTTCCGCCGGACGATCTCAGTGATTTTTCCGAAGGTAGGTCACGTTCACTTCCGCGTCCGCCATGTTAGGTCGTCCCTTCCGGCCTTGCAATAGTGCAACCGGTTTTTCCAAAACCTTCAACCGCCCAGTACTAAAACTGGGTCTGTGTACGCTTCTTCCCCTTGACAATATTTGCCCCCTACTTCAAAAGACTGTGTCATCTCGCCATATTTGTACTGTCCGGTGTGCCACACCGTCTCAGGTGTACATGTCATGACCAGGTGAGGTATGATACAGGTGTACTGTTGTGACCCCTGCACCTGGCACCATCGCTTCCAGATCCATCTTGTACACGCTGACAAGTATGACCGACCCTTACAAAGACTATATGGAGTTTGCCCTGGTCAATTGTTTCGAGTGGAACCAGCATTATTGTGCATTATTGTGTATACTGGAAACGTCCCAAGCAAGCCCTTATCTGAGAATTTTGCTGTGTTCTTTCGCCAACTGTTTTCAGACTCAGTAAGACGCTCTAAAGCGAGCACCCACAGTATAAGATGTTACGTTGCTAAGGACGCTGGCCGCATAGCGACGGAGTTTTTGATTACCTGGGAACAAGCTCGAGTTTCCGCCCACGGCCCTACTACGATAACAGACGGCGGCAGGCTTTTCATATTGGCCCGCGGACAGACACGCACTTTGTACGTACACGACTGAGAAAACATCGATTATCAGCACCTGGATGCCTTGTCTTGTGGACAACTCTTACACTAAAGAATTCATTCACTAAATACCGACTTTTACTATTACGTGATGTCATACATTAACTAGGGATCGTCCATGATTACGAATGTTTAGCTCAGTAAAGTTAAGGTGCTCAAGGCGAAACAGACCGAGAATGACATACACAAAGACTGGATAAAGACTTGTTTGCTGAGGATTATACTTTTGTAAATTCACACAAAAACAGACACATCTAAGCTTACCCAGGGGCTTCTTAAAGAAAGACTGCAGCACATTTTCAAGACGCTAATGTTTTGGCTCGTGCCTACCCTTCAGAATATTAAAGGGCAAGAAAATATTGCAGACGACGCTGACATGTAGTGTTACATCGCTACGTCAAAGGGCGAAGGGTCAGATCTCTGCAGGTAAACACGCACCATACAAATTATCTGACACGTGAAACTGTGCCCTTGTTTCGCCGTGAATGCAGGTCTTTCGGTAAAGGGTCGCGCCGTCTGAATTTCCGTCTTTGGCCTTACATGTAATTACTATCCCCGACGCTACGAGTTTGGATTAATTCTTCGCAGGTAAGATTTAGATTTGGGTTTGCAAAGCTGTGCCACGACTTACTACTTAGTACTAACAGACTCTCTAACAGACTAACTACGCTGGCCATATATATATATAGGTGAATTTGCCAGGGAAGTTTGGCCGCCTTGTAGGTTTGACTGGCCGCGCCTTCGGAGGGAAAGAAACTACCTCCCTGCGGCCCGACTCCCTTTGCCAATTTTAATCTCTTTTTTGCCGAATTCTACGATCCGTATTCCCGTAGAAAGGCCTGGTGGAGGCTAATTAGTACTAGTATGCAAAATACATAATGTAGCTATACCAATTGTAGTGTAATCTTCGTACGTAAGTCCACCATCTTGAAAGTGAGTCTTCTAGGTCGAGACATGTGGATATTCTTCGTTTAAGAACACGGCATGAAGTTTGAGCTGTTTTGATCAAGACAAGGCGTTGTTTTTACAATGCTTGCTTAGAACGTTTGACCTCAGCGTAGGTACATATTATTGACGCAACAAGTAGTGCCTTTTTTATTCCCATGATGTGTTAAGAAAATACTCTACAGTGTAGCTGTTCGGAGGGCCTGTCCTAGCCTCTAACAGGCTTCGAAGCGACTGGAAAGAGTAGAAATCGGTCAAATTGAGAGACAACATGCCGAGGGAGTTGGTCCGCTAGAGAGTACATTTTGCTGTACATTTTGCCGCATCGGCATGTTATATCTCTCAATCTGACCGATTTCTACTCTTTCCAGTCGCCTCCCGAAGCCTGGTAGAGGCTAGGCCTGTCCTGCAAGCGTGCACGACGTGCCGTAGGCTTCCAGATTGTCTTTCACCCTTTTCGTCTCTGATTTCTTAGCTAGGATCAGTCTAGTGTACCTTTGAAGGGGGAACGATTAGCCTTTTGTGGGGTAACACTTTATTGGTTCCGCTGTAGTATTTACACTTTATTTTACAGCCCTGCTACAAGAATAAATCATTGGTTCCATTCTCCATGCACTTGAGATTTATATCTAAACCCTTTTCTACCCTTATCGGGTGGGATTTCCTTCTGTCAACCAACAGCCTGGGCGAATTAAAGAAAGTTTTCAATAGCTTTTCCCAAAAGACTGACATCTAGCCAACCCTGCCTTATCAAGTATTAAAATCATTCTTTATTCACAAATATAAGAAAGGAACATTGAGCCCAGGTCACGTCGGCCATAACTGACCGAACATGCAGGGAGACATATAACATAATACAATACATCAGGACATACAATATTGCACAGTTTTCATTAAAATTTTCTTCACTTATCACACAGGATTTCCTTAAGCAGCTGAAGACAGACGAATCATCATCATGGCTGGATCGGACGTAGACATGGCCGAATTGGCAGAGTCCTTCAAGGCGTTTGCCATCCAGGGCGACACCAAGGCCACGGGCAAGGACATGACCAACAAGAACTGGGCCAAGATGTGCAAGGACTGCAAGGTCATCGACGGCAAGAAGGTGACCGGCACGGACGTCGATATCGTCTTCTCCAAAGTCAAGTGAGTGTGTGGCTGCGTCTTGTCTGGTCAAAGTAACATTTTCTTTGTTTTATTGTCTGTCTGACTTTAAAAATGGTACACACTTCTTTCTCTGCTTAGCACTCAGCACATATGAGAAAGAGTGTGGGAAGGTCAAACACACAGCACTACCAGCGGACTAGCCCCCTGCTGTAGTGCCTTGCACAACTGTGTCCCAAGGGCTACTGAAATGGAGATAGGCACCACCCTACGCTCTGCATAAGATCATGGGAGATCTTCTTCTTCTTCTTCTTCTTCTTCTTCTTCTTGTCTGCCAAGACTTACAGCTTTCAGTGAATCAAGACGTGATAGAACTACTTAGATCTGTTTTAGAACCCCTTTATTAATTATATGTATAGCTCAAATTATACATACACTGTCTACTGCTATTTTCTGTCGGTAGCATGCCAATAGCAATGGGACACTTCAACTAGCTTTAAGTAACGTTGAACAAATTTTATTTACAGTTGAGTGGTCAAAAAATGCCTTGTATGAAGACATCGTTTCAGGAAAATAAAATATGGGCCTGACCAAAACATCCGGTGGGGTCTCCTTGTTGTGATGACTCACGGTGGTGGAATGTGCGTGACGTAAGAAGTTCTATGTTCACTGCCGCCCACCGTGGAGACCAGGGCTCCTTTGCTGGCGACATTGTTGTGGTGAAAACTGTGGTCACGGGTGAAGGCACCGGAAACTCGCAAACCAACCGTGGGAAAACCATAGCCTCCACCAGGCCTTTCTACTGGAATACGGATCGTAGAATTCGGCAAAAAAAGACAGTAAAATTGGCCAAGGGAGGTAGTTTCTTTCCCTCTCCAGTCAAACCTACAAGGCGGCCAAACTCCCCTGGCAAATATTGTATTCTCCTATACATAGCCAGCGTAGTTAGTCTGGTAGGGACCATGAAAACGTTGTCTCCACCAGACTCCTTTTGCAGGCTGAATAAACAGTAGAAATTGGCCTAAAAAGGAGAAATAATTGGCCAGAGAAGTTGGCAAAACCGAGCTTCTCTAGGCGGCCAACTTCTCTGGCCAATTATATGCCCTTTTTAAGCCGATTTCAACTATTGATTCAGCCTGAAAAAGGAGTCTGGTGGAGACTAGGGAAAACCGTAAACAAGTTACAATGTGGACATTTTTTTACGAGAGAATTTCTTCCACAGAAAAGGCGTGTCGCGCCAATGAACCTAACAAGAGAATTATCTGTGAAAATTCATGGGTTTGTCCAGCAGATTTCAATGGTCATCATATACTGGTGCTGATTATCAGATGATATATATATCTTTGACACGTTTTGTTGGCGTAATCAATACACAAGGTCATACTTGAGATATTTCTAATGAACAACAAGTTGTTGTTACTAAAACCTGTCGCTATGTGGTAATCACTTTAGTGCTCTTTATTTGCTGGACAAGGCTTCATTACGATTCCAAGGTCAAAAACCTGCCATGCACGTTCGTCCCGTACTAAACTACTCCGCCATGTTGACGTTCGTAGGCCTAGATGCCAATCATCCAACCGTGTTTTGGCCTATTGACCCTCTGAGCCCCTACACCTATCAGGTGCACTGGTGTGTATATTGTCACACAGTGTCGTTCGAGTGTTCGGTGTGCCGGTGTTTTTCATTGTAGGTTCGAGTCAACAACCATTGTGTGATATGTTCACACAGATCCAGCGGAGTGACCCTCAGGGTCAAGTAGGGACAATCCTGCAAAAACAGGTTTTAGCTAGTCTCTACCAGACTAACTACGCTGGCTATATGTAGTCGGAGAATATTTGCCAGGGGAGTTTGGCCGCCTTGTAGGTTCGACAGGCCGCGGAGGGAAAGAAACTACCTCCCCGCGTCCGGACTCCCTTGGCCAATTTTACTCTCTTTTTTGCCGAATTCTACGATCCGTACTCCCGTAGAAAGGCCTGGTGGAGGCTAGGTTTTAGCTGTCGTTGTCATTGAAGTTCAAACCAGAAGTTCAAAATAAAATGGGCTTGTTTGTTTGTTATATTTGAGCTTCAACTCAAGTTCAATGTTAGACCTCAATTTTTGGCGAAAATCACTTGGACAAGATGTGGCATTTCCTGACTAGTGGACATTGATAAAAATCCACGCAACAGTGACGCATGTGTTGAAAAATCGTGATTGTGCATGGAAACATTTGTTGTACCTAGGGGTCCATATGTTTGGACATCAGGGGTGTCAGAGTATACAGTGCAATTTTACGGAATACAGTGCAATCGTATTAGTATACAGTGAAATTTTACTAGTAACAGTGCAGTTTTACCAGTAAAATTGCAACTGTATACTCTGGCACCCCTGGACATGGGCCCAAATGCATTCCTCTTCCCTGTGGCCAGTGCGGGTTTTAATAATCAAGTCACGGACTTGTTTGTTGTTCCATGTACCTTTCCTTTCTCAAGAGCAGATGAAGATTTCAAACCAGATGAAACCGAACCCACCCACGACCCCTCCAGGTCATGACCTTCACCATGACAACCGTACAATAAACATGTGTCTGTTGTCACTGCTCGTGTGGCTAAATCTTGTCAATCACGCATGCGCAAAGACGTGTGGGCGTGTATACCAGGTGTTCATGGACCTTGACCTTTGTTGAACTCGCCCGTCTTTATTCAGGTTACCTGAGACAGAGTCGGTAACATCTGGCTTGAATGAAATTTCTGAAAATTTCTGTCCCTCCGTCTCTAGTTAACCTTCCTCGTTTTGAGTGGCTGTATGAAAATAATACATCCTGACACTGAAATTTAAGATGTTGACAATTTTCAACCAGGGTTTCGTCAACGAGGGTTTCGTTTGTAGAAGTATTTTCATCAGTGATGCTGCATTGTTATGTCAACAGTGTTTCTTGCTGACAACTAGTGTGCAAAGGATAGCATGAAGAAGGTCTCCCCTCTTGTGCTGAGCGCAGCACTATATAGGGTGGTGCCTATCTCCATTTCGTAGCCCTTGGGTGACACAGTTGTGCAAGGCACTACAGCAGGGGGCTAAGTCCTATGGTAGTGCTGTGTGTTTGGCCTTCCCACACTCTTTCTCATATGTGCTGAGTGCTAAGCAGAGAAAGAAGTGCGTACCATTTTAAAGTCTTTGGTATGACCCGGCCGGGGTTTGAACTCACGACCTCCCGGTTACTGAAAGAGAGCACTCTACCAATTGATTGAGTTATTGCACCAGTTATTGGTTACAAAAGATAGCATGACTCCAGCGAAAAGCAAGCTCAAGCTAACGCACGTACACATGTATATGATGGACACTTCTTTCCTGTTCTTAGGGACAAGTCTGCCCGTACGATCACGTTTGACCAGTGCAAGACGGCCCTGACGGAGCTGTCCGCCAAGAGGTTTCCCAAGGACGACGCCGCGCAGGACAAGACCTTCGCTCTGATAGCGGGGAAGAAGCCGGGAACCACCGGCGTCACGGTAAGCGATCGTCCCTTAGCTTTCCGGACTTCTAATTTTTTTTTGGTTTTACTTCTGTTACTTTGGTTGGGCTTTTGTATACGTACGGATGATAGATCAATGATTTTCCAACACTATACGAGTTGGCCCAGCAAATGATAATCACTCGCTATAGTACTGTTCCTTAGAAATGAGCTATCGTGCAATTGTTTTGCTCCGTTTCCTCTTCTTCTTCTCCAAACCAAAAAGGTCAATGACCTGAACCAGACTGTCTGTTACCATGGTAACTAGTGTTGAGTTACATCATGTTGTAATTCTATAGCAGGAGGGATTTAGACTTCTGTCTTACCAAATAGTAGTATATGAATGTGTTTGAGTAAGAATTAACAGAGTGAACCATATGCAAAGGTAAACATGATGCATGCATTTTTTTGCAAATTTTGTTTTTGTTCTGCAGAAAGCGGTGAAGGCGGGAGGAGTTGACCGTCTGACGGACGCCTCCCAGTACACCGGCTCTCACAAGGAGCGTTTCGACGCGGAGGGCAAGGGCAAGGGGTTAGAGGGGCGCGTAGACAAGGCCGACACCTCGGGTTACGTCGGAGCTTACAAGGGATCAGGCAGCTACGATAAAAAGGTCAAGAAATAAGACTTATGATCCACAGATTTCCAGGGCGTCACAGACGTAGTAGCCTCTGAGCTTAGTAACGCATATTAATAAAAGAAAAGCTCAACTAATTGTACACAATGCTTTCTGTGGTGTCACTAGTTAGTCAGTAGTTAGTAAGACTCCTGATGTGCGGTGCTTGCAATGTAATGTCCTTTCGTGTGTCAAATGAGAGTCACTAGAATGACTTGATGTTAACGTTGTATGCCCATCACTGCTTTCCCAGACCATTGCTGCCACATTGTCATTGCATTTTGCAGGCGTTGTGCACTTAACATACATATACTCGTGTGCTGTGTGCTTACTAACAAGATAGTCTCCACTTTGTCTCCGTTTGCTTGTCTTCGGCAAGACCGTGTTGCAGTTTTGAGAGTGTCGCTGACCACGCAAAACAGTTGTGTAATTTATGCATGTCATTAAATCTGCAATGCGACTCTTACAGTAAGCATGCCCAGCAGGCTGCCCAGGCCTGCCGCCTTGTGAGATTCATCAGAACTGCAGGTGCAGCCACAAACCGTCCAATGTTGAGTGTTCGTTTATTAACAAGCAGTAATCTGTAAGCTTGAGTTGTAATAGAATTTTGCTGTAGCGGTGTTGTTTTTTCGTGAAATGCTGTGGAGAATATATATCCAAAAAGTATCACTATTGGCTGGATCCATGTTGTATGTGTGTGAAAATATGTAGTACATTCTTCGTCCATCATAATCAGCATATAACAATAAAGCAAATCATAACATCAAATTGGATAGTATTGACTGTATTAATGTACTAAGCACAATTTCGGAAAGAATTTGGTTTTCACAATGATAGAAATCATTCCATTTCATTCATTCAGACCGATAGATCAAAATTGAACAAAATTTTTAACGCCAGTCACTATCAAAAATGTATACGGACTAATTATACTTTCAACACGGGAAGAAAAAGGGAAGTTAGAGAGGGTGAAATATAGAAGAAATGCGGAGAGAAAGAGAGGAGGGGAGTGTTGCCTATGTAAGATCACATGCGCACCAGCATTTTGTCACGAGCTTCCTTTTATACATTGAGTTGCTTCTATGTTGCTGTTAATAAACGGTGTTTCCAAAACAAGACTGTTGTTAATGTTATTGTTACCTGACTACAAGTATTTCGGGTATATGCCCCATGCATCATGTTTTAGGTAGGAGGGGAATAGGGATGCTGTGCCTTAACTTCTAGCGTGCGGTAGTAGCAATCAAAGCTACATACAAGAATAGCGGGTCAATCCCTACTCTCCAAGCAGAGGTTGATGGTGGAAAATAGTTTGCTTTTTATACATGGCCCGTTTTTTGTCGCTATCACCATAAAAAAAATAGGGTCATATATAAAAAGCAAACGATCTTCCACCATCAACCTCTGCTTGGAGAGTAGTCAATCCCGACCTACCCAGTTGATGCACGGTACACCGATTTGCACACTAGTAGTAAGGATTACATACAGTCTTTCACAAGAGGCATTAAGTCGCGGGTTCAGTATTTGAAGCTTCGAAAAAAAGGTTTAAAGAACCCAACTCACTTATCAATAAATGTTAGAGTCCCTCCAAGTTCGAGTGCATATCAAACTTATCATTTCGACCTTGCGTAGCTATAGTACCTAACATACAGAACTTGTGTTACGCCTCGATCGTTGTGCAATATAGAAAACAAATGAGAAACAGACGAACAAACACTGCACTGTGGAGTAAGAGAGTCAAAACAACACCAGTGGAACTGCCGTTGTGGACTGACAACGTTGAGGAGCCGAGAGTAAAAGACAAGTAAGTGTTCCAACATGATCACCTTTCAGCACCAAGGAGAGAGCATACCATTCCATGTGCTTCTCCGGTCTTCGTGTAATGCTTCCAAAATACGCAATATTTCGCGGCAGAATTGCTCTCTTGATTGAAACCATTATTACATAAATCCCAGTGCAACAGCGCCACTGTGTCGGCTTTTACTTACCTTTCAGTGACTGAGGTTCAAATAGTGAAGCAAACTCGAGGCACATTTGAGGTGTTCCATTGCATATAAATACCCAGTGTAGTAGCTATCCATGATGATATGACAATTTCTTCTTCTAAAAACTAAAGCATTGTTGAAATGTTCCCTGGTAGAGGTAAGTCTGCCACTCGTTACGTTCTCCGTCCCATGTTGGAAACGGGCGACTCAGACCTGCAGTACTGTTGGCATATGCTAGACGGTGCTTCAACTCTGCTTGGAGATGTGACATTTTGCCAAGTTGGATTTCACACAGGTTTACGCGTATCTCTGGAGCGTTTCGATAATGGATAAAATAAGATAGCACCCAAGCAACATCAGAGTTTGTATGTAATATGTAGCAAATGTGGAATATTTGCCTGATGACCATACGGGTAATCCAGGGGTGCTAAAGTATTTTTTTTACGGAATACAGTGCGATTTTACGGAATACTGTGCAATCGTATTAGTATCTAGTGCAATTTTACGGAATACAGTGCAATCGTATTAGTATACAGTGCAATTTTAATAGTATACAGTGCAATTTTACTAGTAAAAGTGGTCATACCGAACAAGCTTTCGAGCTTAAATAAAGGCTTACTACTACTACTACTACCGAAGAAGCTATGCTGCCTTAACAGTACGTGACCTCAGAGTGTTCTGTTTTGGTTACCCCCGACAAATATTTTGAATCGTAATTGTCTGTCCGGACTTGAACGTGAGCAGCCATGCGTTGATTCACCGGTGTGAATGTATCGCATGTCGCAAGCTGTTACGGTTGGACGCTTCTTCTGAATACTCGGGCGGTGGTTGACTCTTGGCGATTGCATCATTTTGTGCGGCACATTGGATGTAGATAGAGGGGAGAAAAATTTACTAAATTTCCTAAAATTATTGTTTACGTTTATGACTTAGATGTGTTCAAACTATAATCATATTATACCATACTAATGTAGATATATAGGAAATAACTTCACATTGTTAGCGATTTTTTCTGGATTACTTGCAAATATGTTACTTTCAGTGGTAGCTCTCCCCCCTCTTTAAAATGGATCAGTCCCCAAAATGCCGGTCTCTACGTAGAGAGAAAAAGAAGAAAGACACATTTTAGAAAGACAAAACACATGAAGAAATGACAATTTACATATCTAAATCTATCTACAATATTGAAGTAATTCGTATACTTCCAAAAATCACGCCTGCCTCGCCGTTTTGATTCCACTTCTGACCGCATCACGTACATGAGACAATCAATGGATGCGGATTGATACAAAAATATCCTTCCGCCGCACCGGCCGGCGGTCAGCCACTAGGACCGGCCGGCCTGTCATGGAAAGTAGGTCATTGTAGTCCCCCCTCCGCTGAAGCCACGTGCCTCTTTTTTGCCCAAGACCGCTACAAAACGAGATTTTATTCTGCAACAAAGTAGTCGAGCGTACTCTCAGCAAAGTGCCTTAATACGTGTACATAGTGCACCTGTCTGCCCAGTGAGTTGGCGCGAAAGTTTGAGGGGAGAATCTTTGTTGATAGCTCGAGTGTTTGTGCTGCCATTTTTCTCGGTCTGCCGCGCCGGGGAGACAACGGACAGAAACTTCAAGTCGTCAGGTCAAGGTCTGGCTGGGTAAAGGTAAATGTCAGGTTGTATTAGGTCTACATTATTGATCGTCCTTTGTATATAGACGTGAGATTTTCAGGACTGATGCCTCGTTCGTGACCATATCCCTAAACACTTTTGTTTTGTCTCACTTCATTTCAGGGGGACTCCGGACCGGCTTCAGGTTTCTGTGTTGGGACAAACCAGACCGTAATCCCTGCCAACAACTTTAGAAGATTTGTGGTTGTAAATTTTGTTTGAAATTCTTGGAACTAGTGACGTTTATGCTGTACTGAGGCGATGGGGGACGACATCTGGGTGAAGCGGGCGAGCTGGCGCGGCCCGGCGGCCGACTCCCACGGGGACGGCTACGGGCCCCTCCCGGACAAGGCGAACGGGAGTAACGGTACCGCCAACGGGACCGTCAAGGAGGCCGGTTCGGAAGACTCCGTGAACTTAAAAAAGAAGATCACCCTCGTCAACGGGATTTGCTTGATCGTGGGGAACATCATCGGGTCCGGAATCTTCGTGTCTCCGAAGGGGGTGCTCGTCGAGGTCGGGTCGGTGGGACTGTCGCTGGTGATCTGGGCGGCGTGCGGCGCCTTCTCGGTGGTCGGCGCGCTGTGTTACGCCGAGCTCGGGACCTCCATTCCCAAGTCTGGGGCCAGTTATGCCTACATCTTGGAGGCCTTTGGTCCTCTGCTGGCCTTCCTGCGACTGTGGGTGTCCGTACTGATCATAGAGCCCACCTCACAGGCAGTTATCGCACTAACTTTTGCCCAGTACCTGATCCAGCCTTTCTTCCCAACATGTGAGGCACCAAACGCAGCGGTCAGGCTGCTGGCTACAGCGTGTGTAGGTAAGTTAGTCGGTTCACCAAGCCACTCAACTCCCTTTCATAATTTCCTTACTTCCCTTTTTTTTACGTTTTTTATTTTCATTATTCATCATGGGTGGAGAAGATAACATTTTGTTGTCACCATTTTGTCATTGTGATGAATATTTTAAAAATTTTGGATTACAAAGCCAGCCTTTTTTCACACCTTAGTGGGAAGCTGAAAAAGCCACAGCTTATTCTAATTTAAAGTGAAGCATTATTTGTCAGCTTCCCACTGTTTGTTAGCATAAAGCGTAAATCAACATATGCTACCTGGTGTTAGGTCTCCCAGGGGAAACAGTGGGAAACTAATGCCGAAATAAAATCTTTGGGTGGATGATAGAAATTTAAAAAAAATTGGATATTGCAGAACACAAGAATTGTCAGCAGTCATTGAGGATTAAAAGACAATTGCCACTGCCCTAGTGCAACATTATCGAGAAAGTACAGAGGTTCTGGCTTGACTTGTTTTGTTCTATACATGTAATTATGGGCTGAGATGTGGCAAGATTGTAATCTGTAGAGCAGTGTTGTTTTGGCTCCTTTTGTTTGTCTATTAAGGGAGGCTCCTGGGGGAAAAAGTGAGCAGAAAGACTTGTGAAAAAAATGCAAACCTCACATCTGCTTGGAGAAGTTTTTTTTCTTGTCCATACGTTTTCAAGTCATACTTAGCCTGTTTTTCTGATTTCTATGCTTAGAAACGCTCCTAAAGGGCGACAACATGCCTGATCGCTATAAGGTAACAGCTGTGTGTGATGTGGCTAACCATGCCCTGGGGCAAGGCTCTGCCAATTTGGTAGGAAAGGTCTTGTGATCCTTGCATCAGCTGTTTTCTCTGGAAAGGGTCGCAGTTATTTGACAAACGGTAAACAGGTAATACCGGGTCACGGTGCTTACAAAACTACCACGTTGGCAAAAAAAGACTCACTCATTTACTACGTATAAATATAATACATGTGTACATTTAATGTCATACAGTGGCCATATCTGAAACAAGAAAAGGCCAGCTTTCTTGTTATTAATTGTGTTGTAGCTGTGTATTGTTGGGCTGTATGGTGGTTGTAGGCTGTTGGCTTGTAGTCCTTGCTATCTGTCTGTCGCTATCTCAAGGTCATGACCTCTGTCATCATGATTTATGGTCTTACCCTTCATACCTCTCAGCTCATAAACCTTGGTTGGCTGACCTTCCATACTAACTTGTTATTCCTGCCAAACTTATAAGGTTGTTTGATTGAACTCCCAATTCTTTAGCCTGTGTTTACACAAACTATTGGCGGGGTCAGGCTACCAATTCTTCAAATAAAAAGTAGTATAATAGTCTGTAAGCTTGTCCGAGTCAGTTATATACTTACCACCATTGTTGTAGAAACAATTTGATATCATGATAGGTAACAGTCGTAACATACAGGTGTGTAGAATCAAAGTCGTGAGGCAGATCTCTGTAATATCTGCCATTCATTTAATAGACTGCACCTTTTGCCTTGGTTTGGACAGTTGCCAAATTGGATTTCAGCCAGCAAAAAGGTGGGTTCCAGTAATGGGGCTGTCTAGACTGGCTTAGCACATGATTTGGTTTAGAGAGACTTATAAATAAATGCAACAGGTTTTCTACCTTCGGGTGGTTTTGTGCATGAAAAAGAACACTATTGCAAAAGAAGGTCCTATGCAAAATATATCTTTTGGAATTAAAAAGCTAGTCTGGGATTGCCATTACAAGCTACTAGTAACGTCTTTCAAATTAATGTTTTGTGATGAATCATGTGATATAATGTATACATAAGAACCATTGACAGTTGTAAAATTGTGAGTGTAGTGTTACGATATTTTGTGGTTCATGGTTTAAGGCTGGTTTTACTTATACAGTACTGTAGCTGTTGGATTAAATCTCCAAGCAGATCCCTTTCGGCAGTATCCATTAGCCAGAGAAGGTCGCCGGTCACCGACTAGCTAACGATCATTCCCCCGCTCCCTCTGCTTGGAGAGTAGCTGTTAGACTCCATGATGAAAAAGAATGACAGTGTTGCATCAGAGTGCCAACAGTATTGCATCATAGTTTCCAAGAATAGCCTGAGGTTATCTCATCAAACGGGAAATGGCGAAACTGTGGCAGGTAATTACGTATATTTGATGAAGGGGTGTTGGAAGGCATGTACACGTGCGTGCACAGTTTGGGAATAATGCCATATGTCAGATACTAGAATTCTTTCATGGCAACTATGAAATATATATCATATTAAAGTTGCTACCAAACTAGCTTTAGTCAGTGTTGCATATAATATGTACAACAAGTGCTTCCTATGATCCAATGCTCAAAAATCCATGTGAATAAAATAAAAATAAAATATAATATGTACAATGGGTACCAAATCAACAAAGTGAAATTGTATTAAAAGAGCAAGAGGTGTCCATAAATTCTCCTTGATAGAGCATCTTATGAAAATTTCATGGTCAGGCATAGGAAAAAAAAGTTGTGTTTCCTGTTTCAGTCCTGAAAAAAATAGGGTCGGTAGGTAGGGATTATCTTTTTTTTTTCTTTAGACTTCAGTGATATCTATATAGGGGTCCAACTCGTAGTTATACAATACAGTATTATTAACATTTTAGTAAAACTTGCATGAGGACACTTATTTTCAATGTCAATGTTAGAAAACCAATTGCACAACGCTTTATCACTCAGGTGTCAGATCATGGAGCTAGACAAGGTTGATCAGCTCGAAAAATTATGACCCTGTTCATACCAGACTTACATTTAGCGGTTTCAACCGTTTTTTCAAAAACCCGGCTAAAACCCTTAGCGTTCATACCAGACTTTTGATAACCGGTTTTGAAAAAATCCTGTCCGGTGAATATCCAATTAATCGGCCATGACTGCAGTTTGAATAACCGTTCCTCCCGCTCTTCCGATTGTTGTCCTTGGCCTTCTTACTTGTATGCCGTCTTCAGTTTCTTTTTTTACCTTAGTGCGGCACTGATCCTTTATCTTCAAGAAATCAGCCTCCTCCAACATTTTTGTTTCGGAAGAGCCCTCGCCGCCCCCCCCCCCCAGCTTTTTCGAATTCGGCGACTCCTGCTCTCCAAACCTAAGTATCAGGAGCGTCTCGTCCGCCGACCAGGTTGCATATGCTGATTCCATCGCTGATTCCACCGAAAAACAGTGGAAACGAACTCAAGTTGGTCAAAACAACGCGATCAAAAAAGCTTGCAGGTCGCACATGGTCAGGATGCTGACCCCGTGACCCTGGAATTATGATGCAAAAACCGGTTCAATAAACCCTTAGCGTTCAGACCAGGTTTTTCGGTGGAAAAACCCCACAAAAACCCCTCAAAAACCACCTCCCGAGTAGCCTCCTTCGCAGTCTTGTTGGGCGTGGGCGTAATTTTTTCTCTGAGCGACGCGAGTAATATGCCGCCGCGAGGGACGATTTGCTGCATCACGATGGTCAGATTTGGGCCCAAAAGTCCCACTCCGCTACTATGGAGATCGAATCCCCCGAACCCGCGAATCTTGTTCGATATGACGTCATTCGAATAGAGCGGGCGTTCGATCTGGGGTTACCCGCGGTCATTTACAGTAAAGCCGCTACAACCGGCTACTTCAAGCCCTTTTTTACTTGGAAACCACGGAACAGGAAAAATCCACCTTTCCACAAATATGAACCGTTTTCAAAACATTACATCTATGCCGTGATTTTATTGTGGATATGTAACATGTAACGAAGCTACTGCCGTCATCGTGGGTGACCTTGAAGGTCAGAATTCTTGTTGACCCTGTTATAAAATCCAGGTCCCCATATCCAAGTGGCACAGCATGCGTGCAAACATGGTATTTTAACCATTCCCAAAAATCGCTCAAATTACCCCATTGAGGGCTTGTTTGGAA